CTACCAGTATGGAATGATTATGTTAGTCTTCTGTCTCATATGTAGTGGTACTTGTGGCATTTTAAATGACTGTTTTTTCTGTAACATGTGAGACAGTGCCCTCCAGAAGTTCACGCTAATGCCGCAGAAACACTATGTGCAATTACTAGGAATACTGGATCGGCCTTGGCAACAAAACTCTCTAGTCCAAAGTTCGTATAGTTCTTGACGATGTTGATAATTCTTCTGGTTAACCTATGTATTTAACATGGACATTCTGTTTTCTTACTTGGTTCTGGCACGCGTTTTTTCAGTTTTGTTGCAAGGATATTCGGTCATGCATTGGAGGATTCGCATTCTAAATCTGGTCTTATTCATTCACTATCTGTGTGCATCTCTTTACTGGATCCGAAAAGATTTACAAATGCATCGCTGATGATGCATTCTTTCCGAAGTCAGCATATGTACGAGGCTCCTATTCCTGTAAATCCAGAGACCATAGATGCAATGTTGCCTCGACTAGGTGAGTGACTTTGTGGTGCTGGTTCTGTGCTTATTGACATGTCATGTTTCTTGGTTGATGATTCACTTTTCACATATCGTGCCTTAGGTTCCGTTTTAAGCTTTCTGGTTATTATGATTTTATTAGGGATGTTGGTTTTATATTATTATTATTATTATTATCAGTTTCGCATAATGTAACAATAATTCCATAACTTACACTTCAATCGTATATATTATAGGTGATTTGCTCCAGCTGTTAAATGTATCATCTGATGAGAAGATTTTGCCCACAACATACGGACAACTGAAGCCTCCCTTGGGGAAGCATCGTCTAAAGGTAGGTTTCGGTGCTGAACTTATAGTTGTCAAAAGTTCTCATTTGGTAATGGTAGTGTGCTAACCACTGAGGTGTTGTTGATGTTAAACTCATGGCATTAACTGTTTTCTGTTTTCTAGATCGTTGAGTTCATTGCAGTCTTGTTGAAAACTGGCAATGAAGCTACAGAGAAGGAGTTGGTCAGCTCAGGAACTGTTAAGAGAGTACTGGATCTCTTCTTTGAGTAATCATCTACCTCTTCATTCATTCTGAATTTATTAAATCTAGACAAAACTGGTTACTTGCTTCTTAAAATAACTCGCTTTTGTTTTTTGAACTAACCACATATCGTTGCTATTTAACTTTCTTGCAGGTACCCATTCAATAACGCCTTGCACCATCATGTGGAAAGCATTATATTTTCATGCTTGGAGACCGAGAGCGAATCTATGATTGATCATCTGCTTCGTGACTGTGACTTAGTAGGCAAGCTTCTTCAGACCGATAGGAACCCTGTCATCTCTGATGATCAAAATCAGGTGGAGATATATAATAGACTATTGAATTAATTAGGATAAATTTTCTAGAGAAGCGGTGCAAAGCTTCTGCTTGTACAACCATTACTGCTTCAGTGAGGCAAATATGACGGATTTCAAAGAAATACAGATCTGCAGATGACACTTCTTCTCTAATGATGTTTTTTTCCTGAAGTAGGGAAAATGGTATTTTGTTCTGAGGGGTTAAAATCTGACACGAGTCATTATTTTCTTTGAATTGCTCTGTGGGTTCTACTAAAAATCTATGCTTTTGTGCAGCCAACTTTACCTGCTACTGGGAAACGGCTGCCAAGGTCAGGAAATCTTGGACATATTACTAGAATTTCTAACAAGCTTGTTCAGCTGGGAAACAGCAACAGCTGCATCCATACATATTTACAGGTTGGTAGTGAGCTTGACATATAAGGTTAATTTATTCTGTTGAAAGTTACCCAATGTCTAATGGAAATGAACACTTCTGTGAAATGTTCGGATGTTTCTCTTCGCTTTTAGCTACTAATGTTAGGATATGAAACACCAGGGGGTTGTCTTTGGGTCTAATGCAGTCTACACGTGTTTGTCATGTGTAGGAAAATAGTGAATGGAAGGATTGGCAAACCAGTGTGTTACAGGAGCGGAACAATGTTGAAAATGTCTATCGGTGGAATTGTGGGTAAGTAACACCTCATCTAGTGTATGATGCACATATGACAAATGAAACAATGATGCCCATCTATTATAGAGGTTATTTATTTATTTTTTATTTCAACCTGTTACAAGGGGGTGCTACTAGAGGGGGGAAGGGGAAAACTTACAGAGATTTCCAATTGATAGAAATTATTGTATTTCTGAACTGCTCTGCTGGCTAATGCTCAAAATCAATCTGTGTGCATTGATTCATGAGTTGCTTGTAGATATCTTTTACCATCTTTATTGAAATACCAAAAATATTTGTACGGCTTTTCAACATTTTGGTTCTGATTATACTTACCACTCAGGATCTCCTTTTTTCCAGTCTTGCTGTAAATTCCTAGTCTGTGAGGTGTTGAATGACTCGTTGATAAGTTTATATTGTTTTGCTTTGTATTGGCGGTGGCACTGGCAATAGGCTGATAGTGGTTAATGCAACCTTTAGTATGCTTTTAACTGTTGGTATGGTCGGTCATGACTTTAAACTTAGTATTATGGGGGTTTTTTTGGATGTAAGTTTGGGTGCTTTTGTGTCTGTTTGACGTGGGAGAGAATCAGAATAATCTGACAAGAAAAGGCTTAGTCTGAGGTGTTCCCTTAAAGTTACGGGGTGTTGTGGTTAATGATCCACGATTGAACCTCTCCCAACAACTCGAGTTATTGTGATCAATCAGAGCCTTTTGTGACCGAGAGGTCTTGTGTTCGATTCTCGGTGACCCCTATTTGTTAAGTACATGGTATTCTTGTCTTCAGACCTATGCAAACTTCAAGTCATTGTGAGTGTTGTGGTTAATGATCCACGATTGAACCTCTCCCAACAACTCGAGTTATTGGGATCAACTGGTTCTTGACAGGTTCTATGTGCCTGTACGTTTAAAAAGGAGAAGAAAAACATATGAATAGGTTGCTTATAAGAGTTTTTTGTGGCTCTCAATAACCATTGCTTGTACCTACCTTTTGTTTGTGTCCTCTTGTTTTAGAAAAACTATGGTTTTGTTTGTTGCAGCCGTCCAACAGCATTGCAAGATAGAACTAGGGACAGTGATGAGGATGAACTTCACGAGAGAGATTATGATGTAGGAGCTCTAGCAAACAACTTAAATCAGTCATTTAGGTATAAAATTTATGGGAATGACGATGCTGAGGAGGTAATGTGCTCTTTCATATCTTCGCTTTGTCTTTCTGCTTTTCACCCTAATATTTGCGTTTAAATGTTTTAGGTCGATATCATTCGGCTTCTCAACTTCTTTTTTCTTTTTAACAGGAAAATGGTGGCCTTGATAGAGACGATGAGGTTAGTCTTACTATCTTTTTATCATTTTGTCAGGAATGGCTTCATATATTCATTACGTTAGGGAAAACTGTAATAGAGGAGATGAAAATGAGTGACAGTTTGTCTTTTACCTTCTGAAATCGGACTGGCTTCGTATACTTAATATGCAGGATGTCTACTTTGATGATGACTCTGCTGAAGTAGTTATATCATCACTCAGGCTTGGTGATGAGCAAAGGTGAGTGTTTTTAACAAATTCTTTTTATCTGTACCAGCAACAAGTTGGTTTCATCTACAGTCTACAAACCTTTTCTTCTTGTGTTTTCAATGCAGCAATCTGTTCACAAACTCGAATTGGTTTGTGTTCAATGATGAGCGAATTGGCGGTGGACCTGTCAGCACTTCTTCACCTATGGAAGTGATGGAAGAGATCAACTTGAATGGGAATAATGCAAATGGCGGTGGTGGTAACAGCAGTAGCGATGACGAGGTGGTGGTGGGAGAGGATGATGAGTTGACCACCGAAAGCAAAGATGATTCAGTTTCTGCTGGTGGTGGTGCATCCACTTCTGATGCCAACGACCACCTCAACAGCTTCCCAAGTAATGGACAAAGTCCACAGACCAATGATGAGGCCGCTGGCTTCTTCAAGTTCGAGACTCCAGAGACCGAGGATGACTTGTTTGGGGAAAGGCCATTGCCTGAATGGGTAGCATGGGGATCGTCTGACCTGCCAATTGGCGGTGGCTCCAGTCTGAATCCGTTCCTCGATCACGAAACCCCTGATGATGATGCCATTCTCTCCAGTCAGGCTGACGTGGCAACTTCCGATGCTGGTTCTGTAGAACCTGCACTGCCCAATGGTTCATCACCAACCAGGGAGTCTGGCAGCAGCGGCAGCGATGTTTCAGCAAAAAGCGACACAAGTCTGAGAGCAGCTACCGCAGTGCCCTCACTGTTCGAGGAGGACGTGGAGTTCGTAGGGGTGGAACCTGAAGGGACCGAGAAGGCGATGGATCAGGCTCTCAAGGAAGGGATCGTCGGCGAAGCTGGACCGCTGAAGAGGAACATCACTCCCCCTCAAACGGTAGAGAAGGAGAACCCAGACGACGGTAAGGAGTTCAACGACGCCAACTACTGGAGGGTTGATCAAGAGGTTTCCGTTCTCGAGTGACCGACGACGGGTCGGTGTTTTTCTTTTTCTTCTTCTTTACAGTGTCTTGTAAACTGCAGAACGTATGGAAATTGAAAGTGGTAGAACTACAGTGGGGATGATGATGATGATGCTCCAGAACCCTGCAGGGTGTCTTTTAAGATTTTAGCTGATTTTATGTACAGTGTAATTTTTGGTGGAGATTTTTAATTTTTTTATGGTCGGGGGGAATGGATAGTGGGAGATGTGCTTAGTGACACCTTTAATCTCTGATTAGTATCTGTCATTAGCAGTTAACAGAACTGATGTTTTGCATCATCTCTACGGGCCTTCATTCTCATGGGCCGCGCAAAAGGAGCCGTAAGTGGGCCGCGTCCATGGGCCGTGGGGAAAGCTAGGTGGACGAATGTTCTAGAGATTGGCCCGGCGGGCTATAAAAGAAGCACAAACAAAGGGGAAGGAGATTTCGCGCAGCGAACGGAACAATCCAGAAGCTGAAAAGGGGCGAAAGAAGACGGTGATTCGTTCTTCGGTTCGTCGGCGGGGAAGATGATCGAGGTGGTGCTGAACGACCGGCTGGGGAAGAAGGTCCGGGTGAAATGCAACGAGGACGACACGATCGGCGACCTGAAGAAGCTGGTGGCGGCCCAGACGGGGACCCGACCCGACAAGATCCGGATCCAGAAGTGGTACACCGTCTACAAGGATCACATCACCCTCCAGGACTACGAGATCCACGACGGCATGGGTCTCGAGCTCTACTACAACTAAAAGTACGCATGTCCCTTTCCTTCTCTCTCTCTCTCTCTTCCCCTGTTTATTTGATTGTGTGGGCGTAGTAATTGAGGTCTCTGTCATCGCCAAGCCATGGTGGCGACCTGACGAACAACTGAATTGGATGGTTCTGCCTGTTGTAACCTTGTTGCAATGCAGTGGACTTTCCCTCTCTGTTTAATGCCTACAGATTATGTTTCGAATGGAATAAGCGTAATGCTTAGAAATCTCTGTGCGTGATGAATTGTGGCTGGTTGCTTTTCGTTTCTGACACATGATTATCATAGCATGAACTAAGAAGGGGAATGGGTAGCCATTTATAATCCAGTCGGTTTCAAAACATGAACATCTACTGGTAATGGTAATGCGTTAGAATCCTGTTTCCACATACACCTAATGGCAATCTAATCTCATCGACTATACGAAACCTGCAATTGCAAGATGCGAACCCAGGCGTTAGAGCCCGAATCAGGTCCCCCCTTGATATTTGTATGATTGTGTGTTCTGATCTTCATAGGGTTACAGAATCAACTGCCCTTAGGTGGAATGGAGTAGATTTTCTTTGAAGAATTCTCGCCTCTCATTACCCACAACAGTAGGGGTATGAATTTACAGCTCTCTCTTGTACATATGAATTCTGGGATATATGAACAATGAAATATCTTCATTGCAGAGCTCTGCTGGTACATTCAGGAGATATGGACCACTTCAGTGATGAAATCAGCATTACCCCCTATTTATTTTTACTAACCAGCAGTCTGTTGATGCTGTTGGAGTACATTGTAGTCTTGTAGAGCAGAACTTGTGGGCAGGGCAGTGCACAAGGTTTTTTTTTTTTTTTTTTTTTGTTGCTCTGATGTCATCTCCATTCGACTGACAGAATGAGTGAAGGCAGTCATTTTAGCAGCACACAGTTTTCCTCCATCAATTTCAATTCATTTTGTCTTGTACATCTGATTGGATCACACTGCCCAAATTTGGTGCCTGTGTCTCTTTCTCACATGGATGGGTCTGGAACTTGCTCCATGGAAGGAAGGAAAGAAAGCTGCTTGCTTGCTGCTTCTTTGAAGTGGTCCTTCCTTTTCCTTGTACTGCCTGAAATTTTCTGTTTCCATTCCACCCTGCGGGCTGAAAAGGACGAAACTGAGTTAGAATCCAAAAGTGGGGAAAGGATATACTGTGTGTGTCCTGGATATCAGCATTTAAGGGTCTAGCTTTAACACTGACATCAGGCATTCAGGTCTTGCGATGACATGGCCCAGCTCCTGAGCTCCATGTCAGCATGAAGAGCCCAACCCAACCCAACCCATATCTTCTGGCTTCCCTGAGAAAGTGTACAGGAAAACAACAGATATTTTGAGCTAGTAGGCCTAATTTTTTGAATCCAGCCAACTTAGAATTCTATTTCTCAGATGAGATCATGGATAGCTGCTGCAACAATCCATCTTTTCTTTGGGTTCATTGATACATTGTTTTGGCTCAAATACACAACAAGTGCTAACTACAAATAGGGCTAGGGGAAGAGAAAGTTTTCATACAAAACAGAATTCATTGTCTTGTTCCATCTCGTCGTGACTGCAGTATGTGTTCAATAACTTCAATCCTTATCCTTTGCGGATTCCCTTTGGTCCAGATCATTTAATGACACTATCGTGTTATATTTCTGCCCTACGACTTCACTTTGTAATCTGCCAACCACCCTCTCCATCAATTTAATGAAACCATATGTCTTAGCTAGAGAGAAAGAACTCTATCCCTGGCCCAACAATTAAACGCCTAAAGGGGAACTTATAGGTCTTCAATCACACTCATTGTTATATATTGTTTAAGATGAATGAGGAAAATAAAGGAAGTATCAATTCAAAGTCTTTGATGCCCATTTCATTCACATAATTAATGACCAATGGAGGTGACTGCCTTGCGTTAGGGGTACTGAAATACTATCTCAAATGATAATCCGAATCTCTATTTCTTCTTTTTTTTTTCTATTTCTAGAGAAAAAAAAGAGTTTTGGATCGATTCCAGAATATCGAAAAATTCGAGTGGCTGAAGCTGAAGCAGCTACTTTCGAAGTAACAGAAAGAAAAGCAACGACTGGAGTGGGAGAGTCAGAGTCGAAAAGAGGATTCCTCACTTCTTTCTCTCATTCAAAATCCTCCCACCGCGGGATTAGTTAGGTACGCAATGTAAAGTTCCATCTTTCGACATGATATTAAACCGCGGCAAAGTCAAGATTTAGACTAAAGAGGACACTGAAAATAAGAGACTCCAACAGTTTCGTAGCTCGATCACTAAGAAGCGATCCGAAAATTAAGCAATCAGTAGAATTTACACTTCAATTTACATCTACTCAAATTAGCACCTCTTACAATTTTCACCTCCTCCAGCAGAATTTGCAAACCCCCCTTCCCCATCAATTTATCAACATAGATAATGATATACAACCGATTAGACCTACTGAAACCGAAAATTTTGCGCAAACTTCAAATCAATGAATGTGGCTTTTCCTTTTGTAGGTGGCCTATCGGACACATATATAATGGGTACATAAATGATGCTATGAAATGATTGCTGGTAATGTTCATCCATCATGATTCCTCATCGTGATGCAACTCGGCAGGCTGTTTGTTGATGGCCCATGATCATGCTGTAGTTTGACTATGAGCAATTCCCTCCATTCGTGTTCTTTGGTTAGTTGGTGGTGACGTCACTGCCTCCATGGCCATAAGAAAAAAGACGGGAAAGAGAAAACAGAGAGAGAGAGGATCAGGTGGAATCTTGTTTGAAGTGGTGGGACATGCAGTTGGATCATTAGTTAGAGAACATGGAGAGAAAAAATTAAGAGTTTGTTTAGGCAACAAAACCGAACCATAATGCCTTGAAACAGAGGTACGTGACAGAACAGAGAGAGCTGAGACATCGACAGAGACAAATCACCAAACCATACATACTGCTAGCTAGAATTGAATCTGATGGTTCGATGATGGCGATGAGAACAATGACATGAATGAAGAACCGTAAGCATCAGAGTTAATTGCAGGGAGAGTGATGGTTTACTGTTTTGCCGACAAGTAAATTACTCACATCGCACTTTCCATCGTATCATGTTGGCAAGGCAGCTTTTGCCCATTGAAAAAGCTGTGTAGCAAACCACTTTTTTCAACAGTTCGAGTCATTTAGATCGATTGGTTTATGATATGGTATCAGAATTGGTGGTCGTGTGTTTGGACTTTACTACCCATAATATTAACAATCTATGTGTAAGGAAGTGGTTAGTACCATACATGGGCCTGTATAAGATCCAACATAACCTTCTCCCAACAACTCTAGTTATTGGGACCAACTGGTTCTTGACATGGTATCAGAGCTGGTTATTCCGTGAGGTCAAGTGTTCAAGTCCTCATGACCCCCAATATTAACCGTTGTCTTTCAAGCACATGGTATGGCGGGCATGTGCAAACTTTAAGCCCATGAGTTGGTTTTCGTTTGAGGGGGCGTGTAAGGAAGTGGTTAGTACCATACATGGGCCTGTATAAGATCCAACATAACCTTCTCCCAACAACTCGAGTTATTGGGACCAACTGGTTCTTGACACTATGCACAAGGTAAAATGGGTTTTGTGAAGACTCCAACCCGTGATTTAGCTTACGATTTGAGGGGACGGGTTAGAGGTTGATGTAAGATCTATAATTAATATTCTCCCAACAACTCGAGTTATTGAGATCAAATAGTTAATGATAAATACAAGTCGGCGGTCCGGGTGATAGCGGGATGCCTCCTGGAACACCATGGTGGCGGTGAGGATCGAACCTGGGACCTCACGGTCACCAATCTGCCACCCTTACCACCAAGCTATGTGACCTTTGGCTTCTTGTTATCTAGTTTTACGTGATTCTACTAAGAACCTGCGATAATATGGGTTCGATTTCAAGAGTATTACATCAATAAAATTGCAATTAGAAATATTATTGTAACTGAACAATACTACTTCGATGTGTCATCAATTAAACCAAAATGATTCCACTAAGATACGGTTTGACTTTGATCAACCATTATGCTTTGCCGACGAATAGTAGAAGCAAGGGGCAGTTAGTATATCTCGTGCGAGAATTTGGGAAAATATCGAGTGCGATTGAGATGCTGGAGCCGAGTTTTTCCTCGAAATCTTGAGGTGGCGGTAAAAAAAAAAAAAAGAGAGAGAGAGGCGAATCTCATCCGTTGAAAGCCAAACCTAGAAGGATGAATCTCCGCCGTAGAACATCAGCCCAAAAAGAAATAAATGGTAGTGGGCCTGGGCTGGACCTCCGTCCCCACCACGTCAAAAAGGACATCAACATGTGGGCTGTGGGGCCCGCCGCACGAACGAGTGTTAGAAGCCACCTCACCAGATCTCTGTCGTTTAATTATGTTTGCTTTTGCTTGTCAACTCTCCACTTCCCTTATGCTGTTTTTTACCCCCCCCCAAAAATTATATTTTCCATCTAGAACTTGTAATTTTTTTTTCAAAATTACTGAATGAAGAATTTAAATATGACAAAAGCTAGCGTATTAGTAGTCAGAGAATGTGATATAGTACCATAATTCGAATGTCGATTCGTTATGATCTAGATAACGTCATCTTACAATGAGTACGATTCACTTGATCACTACATGTTCAGCTAAGATAGTACAATAATGATATGATATATAAGAACACATGTAAATTTATTTTAAAATTAGTATGCAATTATTTACCGCATACGATCTTTTTAAAAGCTGGCATGTGGTCATATATACCATACCAAAAAAGAGTAAATAAACATCGGTATCATCGCAAAACTCTCACAAATTTACAAAACTTATTTTTATCATTCCTGATAAAATTCTTACTAAGAGATAAGACAAAGAATTTTGTAAGTTTTACGTGTAAGGGTTTTGCATAAGATCTTCTCTCGATAATTTAAGCCAACAATTAGCCTCCAATATTTAGGTACGATTTCAGTAATTTAAGCCAACAAAATCCAGAACTAATTGTCAAGATTTGGTAAGATAATAGATAAATAAATATAAGTATAAAACGGTTGTGGGTGATTAAAGTTTAAATCCAAACATGTGGATGTTAGTTAATGCCGGGGTTGAGGGTTAGCTAGCGGGTCAACTGTTTTGCACACGAGGAATCTTGGATCTCGTGTGGGAAAAGACCAACGATCCCCAAACAGCGGAGGTTAAAAAGGAAAAATACACTAACACCAACACACACACAAAAAAAAAAAAAAATTATTGTAGTTGTATAGGCCCAAATGAAATCATCACAACGTATTTCAATTTGACTTTCGGTGTTCTTTGAAAACATGGAGAAAAAAAATCTACTCTTAAAACTTGAGCAAGCTTTATCATGATGGTCGAGATCAATGACAACTCGATCTATTCAAAGAAAGAAAATTACATTAGAGTTTGAGTATGATAAATTACACTTTTTATTTTTCGAATTCTCACACCTGGTGAGTATGACAGAGTACGACATTTCTAGTGTCAATCTACATACCAATATGAAAATACATAGCCGCAATGTCCAGTTTCGTTGGTAATTTTACTAACGCGTGGTTGATCCCTGCTTATCAAATAGCAAGCAATTTCACTGCTTTTGCAAAATGTCATGCTCATTTTCGTTCGTTAGGAATATCATATCTACGTATTCAATTTCATGTAGTTTTGCCAGATAAAAAAAAATCCGACCAAATAACTAACTAGTTACAAAACCAATCTCATCATAATTATCTTTCTGCACATAACTAGACACAATTATAATGGATGAATTCTTAACTACACATCTAATAAGAATGCATTTAAGTGGATTGATGCATGGGATTCAGCATTCTATGTGTGGCCAGGCCACCACAGAAATCTTTGAAGTCACCCGGTCTGGAGATTCTCACAATCCCATCAAACAACTCTCTGTCTGTGTTTTTTTCTTACCAACCAGGGAAGCAAGGCACCAAATGAAAACAAAGCACATCCCTGAATCTAAGGGTTTTTGGAACTGAAAACCATGGAATTTAAAGGGTGATTTTTTTTTTTTGGAATTGAAGATTCTCGTGCTTTTGTCTTTGCCAATTGTCCCACTTTTCTTTGGCTTTTGTTTTTCAATGTTTCCATGCATGTCCATCCATTGTTGACCGGTTTGCTTCAATAGCCGGGCCCGGCCATTGAAGATGGAGCTTTTTTGTGCTCAACTCACCACTCTTGTCTTCCAAATGCAATGTTAATGAGTAATTAATCACATTCCAAAAGGTTATTTCAAATTCTGAATCAATTTTTGTTGTCCTTGGGGATCATGAATTAACAAACCCAATGGTTAATTAAATGATTTGGTGTCGTTAGAACACACTGCGTTCATTTACAAAAAAAAAATGATATAGTGCCAATGCTGACTCAGAAGTTGCTTTTAATGGAGGTATTTGTGATTGCTTTCTTGCTACAGATGTTTAAATCAGAGTTGCATCATGCATGCACCGTCTTATTACACATATATTATTCCATGAAAGTATCATTATGTACGTTGAATAGTGTTATACTATCGCTGCACAACACCTT